TCTATTCTATTCTATTCTATTCTATTCTATTCTATTCTATTCTATTCCTGCCGATAAATACATGGACCAGATAAGTTAATTTACCTTGGAAATATTTGGAGAGTCTAGTCCAAAGGTCTCCAAACTTGGCAACTTTAAGACTTGTGCTATGCTGGCTGGACAATTCTGGGAATTGAAGTCCACAAGTCTTAAAGTTGCCAAGTTTGGGGACCCCTAATCTAGTCTAATGGCAGCTGGAAAAATAAAGTGTGGCTTTGTAAGAATGACATAGAGAGGATAGTTAGCAAGAAAACAGAGACCTCACCTCAAGCAGGCGTCCCACGGAAGGCGAAAAAGGCAGATGTTCAACCAGACTTCAGCAGCCCCCTTTTTATATAAAAGCAGATTGTATAAAATAAAAGTCACCGCCCACTGCCTTTAACGGATTCCTGCAAGGGAAGGCCAATCATGTCTCTAGATATCTTCAGAGAGCCGTGTTTTTCGCCTAAATAAGATAATTCAATCTCAATCTTTTCCATCTCTCTTGTGGGGGGCCTCTTGTGTTAGAAAAAGATACAGCCAAAGATAGCGGCAAAAAAAAAACCCCACTGTTCAAATTGCTGATCTGATGTGTATCTCCTATCTCTGGAAACTTCCCTGATTTTCTGTGGTTGCAACGGTTTTAATGTCCTAAAAAGATAATTGCTATCGAGCTCCTGGGTCTATCTTGATTCTTCCGAGAAGAAGCGTGCACTGCTCCACCCCGCTCCTTCCCGCTCCACAAGCAGGATATTCAAAATCAACTGCAGTTATTATTAACTGTGAGGGAATATGTCAATTGTGGGTTCATCTTTATTTGGGCAACTGAGGGTTGGGTTCTTCAACCATGAGCCACGTTATAACGAATGATTTTATTAAGCCTCTTGGTTTATCTTTTCCAGACCTGCGTTCGACGGGTTTTACCTAGCATGTAAAGATTTTGCAAACATCTACGTAAGGGATCTTCAAACTTGACAGCTTTTAAGGCTTATGGACTTCAACTCCCAGAATTCCTCCTCCGGTCATGTTAGCTCAAGAATTCTGGAAGTTGGAGTTCACAAGTCTTAAACTTTCAACTCCCAGAATTCCTCCTCCAGTCCACGTTAGCTCAGGAATTCTGGGAGTTGAAGTCCACAAGTCTTAAACTTGCCATGGTTGAAGACCTCTTGATCTACCTGTTAGCATTTATTTGATAAAGTAGACCGTACTCTACTATTTGATAAAATAGAAAAATGTGGGTTGACAGCATGGATTCGCAACAGGCTGACCAACTGTACTCAAGGTGTAGTCCTCAATGGAACTGCATCTACAGGGATGGGAGTAAGCAACAGGGCACCCCAAAGCTCTGTTTTAGGCCCGGTACTCTTTAACATCTACATCAAATTTGCAGGCAACACCAAACTGGCAGGAATAGCCAATGTTCTAGAACAGGGGTGTCCAGCCTTGGCAACTTTAAGACTTGTGGACTTCAACTCCCAGAATTCCTGAGCTAACATGACTGGAGGAGGAATTCTGGGAGCTGAAGTCCACAAGTCTTAAAGTTGCCAAGGTTGGACACCCCTGCTCTAGAAGATAGGCTTAAGATCCAGAAGGATCTTGGCAGACTTGAACATTGGGCGCTATCTAACAAAATTAAATTCAACGGTGAAAAAAGTAAGGTTCCACACTGAGGCAAGAAAAACCAAACGCACAGGTATGGCATAGGTCAGGGGTCTTCAAACTTGGCAAGTGTAAGACTTGTGGACTTCAGCTCCCAGAATTCCTGAGCTAACATGACTGGAGGAGGAATTCTGGGAGTTGAAGTCCACAAGTCTTAAAGCGGTCAAGTTTGAAGACCCCAGGCATAGGTGGTACCTGGCTCAACAGTAGTAACTGTGAGAGGGATCTTGGAGTCCTAGTGGACAACCACTTCAATATGAGCCAGCCGTGTGCTGCAGCTTCCAAAAAAGCCAACACAGTTCTAGGCTGCATCAACAGAGGGACAGAATCAAGATTACATAAAGTGTTGATACCACTTTATCAACACTTTTTTATATTCCAAGTGTGACCACACCAAGGCATTATTTATAAGGCATGCAGAGAAGAGCAACTGAGATGATTAGGGGATTGGAAGCTAAAACATAAAGAACGATTGATGGAATTGGGTATGTCTAGTCTGATGAAAAGAAGGACTAGGGGGGACATGATAGCAGTCTTCCAATATCTCAGGGGTTGCCCCAAAGGAGAGAGTGCTCCAAAGCACCTGAAGGCAGGACAAGAAGCAATGGATGGAAATTAATCAAGGAGAGAAGTAATTTAAAACCAGAGGATCAAAGAACCATAGAAATACAGAATCATTGAATCACAAAACATAGAATCATCATAGTATAAAATTACAGAACCATAGAACACAGAATCGTAGAACCACAGAGCTATGGAAAGACAGAATATAGAATCATAAAACCATAGAACAGGGGTCCCCAAACTTGGCAACTTTAAGACTTGTGGACTTCAACTCCCAGAACTCCTGAGTTAACATGACTAGAGGAGGAATTCTGGGAGTTGAAGTCCACAAGTCTTAAAGCTGTCAAATTTGAAGACCCCCTGGTATAAGAAGGAAATTCTTCGATTTAAGATCTCATCGTGGGGGAATAAGTTCTGCCCTGTCAAGGGCAAACACTACTGGTTGGTTATTGTTTTGTTTTACTTTTTGACAATATGTTTTTACTGTTTAAAATGTTTTCAGAATTTTAATTGTAATCGGGGTTTTGAATTGTGAGCTGCCCAGAGTTGTTTGCTAAGATAGGCAGGTAGAGAAATAAGAAAGAAAGATGGACTGTTCAGACTATCTTAAAAACCTCCAGTGTTGGAACATTTGCGAGTTCTGGAGGCAAGTTGTTCCACAGATTCATAGTTCTAACTGTCAGGAAATTCTTCCTTAGTTCTAGATTGCTTCTCTCCTTCATTAGTTTCCATCCTGATTGCTTCTTGTCCTGCCTTAAGGTGCTTTGGAGAATAGCTTGACTCCCTCTTCTTTGGGGCAGCCCCTGAGATATTGGAAGACTGCTATCATGTCCCCCCTAGTCCTTCTTTTCATTAATCATACCCAGTTCCAACCCCTGTTTTTTATATGGTTTGTTGCCTTACTCCTGGTTACAAAGCTTAGTCTACTCTTGGTTCAACGCCTGACCTTCCGCCCTAAACCCTAAACCACTACAAAAAAAAATGGCTGTCCGGTCTCTTCTTAAAAACCTCCAGTGTTGGAGCATTCACAACTTCTGGTAGCAAGCAGTTCCCCTGGTGATTGTCCTCACTGTTCGGTAGTTTCTCCTTTATTCCAGGTTCCTTTTCTCCTGGATGAGTTTCCATCCGTTGCTTCTTGTCTCACCTTTTGGTGCTTGGGAGAATAATTTGATCCCCCTCTTTTTCGTGACAGCCCCTCAAATATTGGAAGGCTACTATCATAGTAGTGATAGTCCTAGTCCTTCTTTTCTCTAGACTGGCCACCATACCCAGTTCCTGCAACTGTTTTTTTTTTTCCCTGTTTTAGTCTCCGGGCCTTTAATCATCTCAGTTGCTCTTCTTTGCACTTTTTTGTTGTTTCGTTCTGCCTGCCCATTCGCTGCTGGGTGATTGGGCATTGTCAATGCATGTCTGATGCCCGGGCAGCTAGATATTGCTTGAAGGCCAATGCTGTGAACTGTGGCCCATTGTCGGACACTATTACATCAGGCAACCCGAGTGCGGCAAAAAGTTTGTTGAGTTTAATTATGACGGCCTCTGTGGTTGTCTTTTTCATAGTGCAAACTTCCAGCCAATTAGAATAGGCATCGGTGGTTATCAGGAATGTATGTCCGTGAGTGGGGCCAGCGAAATCAAGGTGGATTCGCGACCAGGGGCCTCTGAGTGTTTCTCATTCCAGAGGTGGTGCTGTGGGTGGGGTGGATCGCGTTTGTTGACAACTGTTGCATGCGGAGACCCATGTTTCGATATGCCTGTCCATCCCCAGCCACCAAGCGTAGCTTCTTGCCAGGGCTTTCATCTGGATGATGCCCGGGTGCACTTCGTGCAGCATGTCCAATACTTTGGTTTGTAATGTTTCTGGTATCACCACCCGATCGCCCCAAAGTATGCACCTTTTCTGAGCAAAGAGATCAGTTTGCCAGTTCCTGAAAGCTCTAAAGTGTTCGTCTTTGTTATTTTCCAGCCAACCTCGCTCTACCCAGCTCAAGACTCGCGCCAGCCGCCAGTCTTTTTTTGTCTCGTGGACAATGTCTGGCACGGTGAGGAGTGGGCTGGGCAGGGTTTCTATTTGGAGGACTTGGGAGGTGGGTGCTGGGTTGTCTTACACGTCTGGGAGGGGTGAGCGGCTTAGGGCATCGGCGTGCAGAATCGTCAGCAAACCTAACAGAACAAGCTCCATAAGCTGACCTGAAATAAACGAAAAGCTCTCCTTGTTCTCACCATTTTGAAAACAACAGCAACATAACCCCTTAATACTTAGATGCAGTATAGCCTCATCAGTGTTGAGTACTAGTTGACAAAGGAGATGGCAAGAACCACAAGGTCAACTGTGAGAGCTCTCGGGAAACGTACCTGACTTATAGAAGCTAAATTTGCTACTCCCAGCATCTATTCCAACAGAAACTGGACCAATTTTGGCCACAGCCTCCTGAAGTCCTTTTTCATCCCCTTTCATGATCTGTCCGTATGAATTACATCTGGTGATAGATTCCTCGGGAACAAAGCGGCAAGTCTCCCCATCCTGCAGAAGAAAACAGTGATCCTAAGAAACTGTTGTGGTTGATGGGCTTTAATAGTAATTGTCTCCACCCAGGACTCAAGCCTTTCCCATCCTATTGCTGGAGGCGTTATCAGCTAGAGACAAAGAGCGGAACAGTTCAGCTTGAAGCATGCAGAAGGAATGGACCCGGAGATACACATACTCAGATCATTTATTACCTGTCTGTCATAAGGGTAGCTTTTCTCTGAATTGATCCCACCTTGCTTCTGCACAGTTTCAAAAGCTAGGTGCATCCATCCACCGCCACACCCATAATTCTCCTCAGAACAGTCCAGAAGATTTTGTTCGCTCAGTGAGACCAGCTTCCCCGTCTTCTTGAAATGCATGCCTTCCAAAGCACCTGTGGCACTGAAGGCCCAGCAAGAGCCACAATTACCCTGGGTTTAATAAAAAAAAAAGGTGGGGTGATTCACTGAGTATCTGAAAACTCAGAATACAGAATAAGAGAGTTGGAAGTGAGCACAGAGATTTTCTAGTCCAGCCCTCTACTTGAGCTGGAGATCTTATACCATTGCAGACAAATGGCTATCCAATATCTTCTTTAAAACTTCCAGTGATACAATACACACAACCTCTGGAGGAAGCCACTCCACTGATTAAATGTTCTCAATTTATATTCCTTTAACAAGTTATTTCCTCTCAGTACTTGGCAGTAAGCAGCTGGTCCAAAATTACTTCCGACAGAATTAAAGTTTTAGGGATGAAGTTAAGAGTGAAAAGAAATTAGCTTTATCCGCAAGTCTTTGTGAATCTGTCAAATTCTGACTTGTGGCCCAATGGGCAGAACATAACACTCTTCCTTAAAAACACCTCTACATAATAACCCAGAACGATCCAACACAACCCACCTGATCCTTGACTATGGTGACAGCACCTTTGATTCTCCAGTCCACCTGGTCAGGAATATCTGGATCCTCTGAGGATTTGAATGTGATCCCGTTGCCTTTTGTTACATTCTCAGAGCCAGAGAGCAGGCAGTGCAGCCTCTTCTGGAGCTCTTCATTGGTCTGAGGAGGAGAAGAACAAACTCAACCGATCTCCATTTCCACTTCTCATATTTAGCCTTAATAAGTTTTATCCCATGATCAAATGCAAAGAATGTATGTTTTGAAGAAACCTATGCCCTTGTCACCAACCTGGTTGTCTTAGGGAAAAAGTTGTATAATTGCAGCATTTCTCAATCTTGGCAACTCTTAAGATGTCAAGACATCAATTCCCAGAATTCCTCAGCCTCTACGAATCAACTCAAATGCCTGACAGAGAAAATTCTCACACTCCCAGTCTGGATAATAGACTGGGAGAAATGCTAAAGATGAATTTATGGAGATGGCTAAACCCATCTGTTAAGTTTGAGCAATGAGAGGCTGAACCAGAGCATGAGTGCAACAATACTTTATTTTACAATAAAGGGCTGACCGTGCTTGCCAAGCCTGGAACTGGCTCGCAGCA